TCGCATCAATGTGTGTCACCCGGGTGTGTACATGCATGCGCGCTCGCGCGGGCATTTTGTGTGCGTGCCTGGCATGGCATAACGCCGTTCAGTATGACTAGTGTTGAACCGTGGTAATTTGCCCCCACCCCCTCTTTTTTCTGCTGGCGTTGGATATGCAACTAATGACATAAACTCGGTTGTTGAAAACGAGTGCCATGCACCACAATGGATTGACAATAATAATAATACAAGTAGCACTGTAACAGCGCTGGTAATACTTATGTTGCAGCCATGGCAGTTGTGAGTAGCTTTCCAAGTCAAGCCTGCTGCAGAAATTATTGCACTCTGACCAGCTGGAGTGGCCCAGGACTGCCGGTTGTGGAGAACAGGAGTGATGCTTGTATATACGCTTGTATTTACATGATGTACACAGTGTACTTCGAAGTAACGTTAGGTGTATTGCTTGCGTGTTCTTCTGCCTGTGCGAGTGTACATGTGCTGGTCAGTGTGGAACCACCATCCATATCAGATCATACAGCTGCTATCAGTCTCAACAGCTTGTATCTGGCAAATAGGGTTTTAGTGACTCGATTTTGCTTACTGTGTTCAACAGAGTGGCATTGCACACAGCTACTTGATGTAATAGTAGCATCTTGGAAATTTTAGATTTTTGATAGTTAGCTTCAGTAGAAACTTCTCCAGTGTGGCTCTTAGCTTCATTACCACGGAGACTAAGCATTCAAGTAATGCACGAAGAACATTGGCTAGATGTGAAGTGAAAAGCCATTGGACCGTACCCCGTGGAATACGCATTTAGTATAGAAGAATTTCTTGCTATGTTGGCAGCAAACACTGTATAATATAATAATTACATTACCAGTAGAAAGTGCCTAATGTGCATTGCTTCAGCACTATGTTTTGGACAAAGCAGTCAACAAATTCCACATCACTATCGGCTTCATGTTGGAGAAAGTTGTGAAAAACACTAGAACATACATGTACACTCAATACACATGCTCATCTACATGTATGGCATTTAGTATGTGGGCGACTTCAAAGTTCTATTTTGGTAGTTTGCTTCGGTAGAAACTGTCTAAACTTGATCCAAAGCTCTACTACTATGTTCTGAAGATGTTGCAATCAAGTAATGTAAGCCAAGTATCTGCCGCATTGGAGCTAGTTGTGAAAACCTTTCGACCATACACTCAATGCACATGCTCAGCTAAGGCATTTAGTATGTGGGCGACTTCAAAGTTCTATTTTGGTAGTTTGCTTCGGTAGAAACTGTCTAAACTTGATCCAAAGCTCTACTACTATGTTCTGAAGATGTTGCAATCAAGTAATGTAAGCCAAGTATCTGCCGCATTGGAGCTAGTTGTGAAAACCTTTAGACCATACACTCAATGCACATGCTCAGCTAAGGCATTTAGTATGTGGGCGACTTCAAAGTTCTATTTTGGTAGTTTGCTTCGGTAGAAACTGTCTAAACTTGATCCAAAGCTCTACTACTATGTTCTGAAGATGTTGCAATCAAGTAATGTAAGCCAAGTATCTGCCGCATTGGAGCTAGTTGTGAAAACCTTTAGACCATACACTCAATGCACATGCTCAGCTATGGCATTTAGTATGTGGGCGACTTCAAAGTTCTGTTTTGGTAGTTAGCTTCGGTGGAAACTGCTAAAACTTGATCCAAAGCTCTACTACTATGTTCGGAAGATGTTGCAATCAATTATTGTAAGACACGTATCTGTCATATGGTGGAGTCAGGGGTTCTAAGGCGTTGGACAATGTCCCAGTGCAATGTGCTGATTCTTGAAATATGGCATCACTTGAAACTTCAAAGTTTTATTTCACGAGTTACCTTCGGTAGAACCTGCTCAAACTTGCTACACAGTACCATTATTAGGTTATGATAGCATTACCATCGAATACAGGGCAAGTCCAGTGTCAAATACTTGTGGGCGGGGCTAATATGTGGGACGTGTGCGCTGAAATAGGATGATTCCGAAAAGAGAAAAAAGTCACCTTCTAGCAGAATTCTACCCACTTCTACAGCTAATGCTGATATTTAGCAAGTATACTACTGTCCTGGTGTTGGTCATCAAGAAAAAGGGGGTAACTACCAGTGCTACGGCCAAAAAACTGGTTTTCCGGTATTTGTTGGCCTAAATTGGCAATTGTGAGTACGCTATGTTTGGTCCCTCCCCCGAGTGAAACCGGCCGGTAGAACTTGATAAAAATTCGTCTCCGTACACTAGATATCCAACGGAACAAAGTACAATCATTTGTAGCCACGTTTCAAACAAAAAAAATTTGGACCCGAGGGGTAGGAGCCACCTTAACCACTCGGCCACCACTGCTCCGACAGACTTCACACAGCAAGTGATCGTTGTCAATGCGTGTGAAACGAAACATAGTGTGATGGTGCTGCTGAAAATGGACTGCATTTTTAGGAAAAAGCGATTTTGTCAACTGTACTATCATAGACATGCGTGTAGCATGGGTATGGTGCGACTGGTTACCGAGGCAACAGAGTATGCATGCAGACCAAGTCTTTGTAAATGAGTCCTCTTAGTTTGTTGAGGAAGCTTAGGCTGCAATCTATTTGAATTGACGTGAATATATTTTGTTGATGCTGACCAGGCCCGTCGCACCGACTTTGGAGGTGGGGCGGGCGTGGAAGGGGGGGGGGGTTGGGGGGTCCTCCCCGGGAAAATTTTCAAAAATTGAAGCCAATTGCAAGCATTTCCGGACATTTGCTGCCATTTCAGTGTAACTACAATGAAAGACTTTTTGATTCTGCAACAAACCAAGAAGACGCTACGATTGGGGACATGGGTTCTTCATTATATTCCCACGGGAAAAATTGAAGCCAAATTTGCAAGCATTTCCAGGCATTTGGTGCCATTTCAGTGTGTTGTGAGTGCAATGTAAGACTGCCAGTTTTGATTCTGCAATAAACCACGATCGGGGACAAGGATTCTTCATTATTTGCCACGTTTGGGCTGAGCTGCGATCATGGAGTGTGCTCCAAAAAAAAAAACGGCCGAAAAAGTGGGCCGCCCCAGCCGCCCCAGCTGTGACGACCTTGCTTACTCTGCTTCTGCTGTTGTTTCTGCTGCTGCTGCTGTTACTGCTTCTGCTGCTGCTGTTGTGACGTGTTCATTGCTCCTTTGTTCTCTGCTCGGTTTAGTTTCTGACGTCGATGGACGTGTGTCGCGTGGCGGGTGGCGTGGCCGTGGTGCCAACGGCGGACATGGTGGAGTTCTCCAAGCCCGCCAGCAGTAAGGACACATCGCGTTCACCCGCGCTAATGGGCCCCGGCGAAGCGGGCAGAGTTGCTCAGGACATGGCACTGCGCGTCCTCAATAACGCTGCAAATGAATGAATAGCATTGACAAGAACAAACAAGCTGAGCCCTTTGAATCGTAAGCAGCAACTTTCGGCCTTTTGTCTACAACAGTATCTACTCGTACTACTCCAGCACTACAGTGTCTAGTACTCCAGCACTACAGTGTCTAGTACTCCAGCACTACAGTGCCTAGTACTCCAGCACTACATGTACAGCATGTATACCTTGGAGTCTTGGTGTTGGTGTGATGAGGTCGAACAGAGAGCGCACGTGCTGGAGGTGGAATTGCTTCAGGCTGAACCATTACCTGCGTATGGAGCAGCGCGTTCACATGGTAAACATGGGTTCCCGTGTGTCTACATGTATGTATAACCAGCACCCCACGCACACTGCTAGCTGTTGACTGCAGCATTCGGCCCGGCAGCATCCACGTCGTTACTGAGCGTATCACCCAACTCTTTTTCACAGCAAATTCATCGAGTATAAACTACCTGCACCATGGAATAACACACCTGTGCCGATGCTGCTGACTGCCGACATGTTTGCTGAGTTCACACTCGCACGCGTATGTGTTACCATTGTAATGATCAATACTGCGTGCACAAACACATGCCTTGACCATCCGTCTCCATATTGAATCTGCTCTCAGCGCTACAAACCAAGACACAAACACACCGCCTTAGCCGTCGTAATACTGCAGCTGCTGTCAGCGCTTCATGCCAAGCGAAGCATTCATCGTCGAGACTCCGTCATGTTTCCTGATTTTACGTTCACGCAAAGATGTGTATATTATGCAGGTATGTGCACAGCCAATGCCCGGGTCTCACGGCACTGTACGAGTCGTATGTGCACAGCCAATGCCTGGGTCTCACGGCACTGTACGAGTCGTTTGTGCAGAGCCAATGCCTGGGCTCTTACACCCATGAGTGTATGCAGGTATGTGCAGAGCCAATACCTGGGCTCTTACACCCATGCGTATATCAGTGCAGGTAGCACAGAGTCAATGCCTGGGCTCTTACAACACTGTATTTGCAGGCAACGCTGAGCCAATACCATTGCTCTCACAATGCTCCTTTTCCAATCGTAATTGTCTTTTTACCGGGTAATGTTACACGGTGTAAAAACAATTGCTATGATGATTGGAGGGTTACACCTGCCGATGCTGCTGTTGTATTTGCTGACTAACTGAGTGTACGTCAGTGTGCCGCTCCAGGGTGGTGGAGCGTGAGAGGGCGACATCCTCACAGCCACGCTATGATTGTATGCTCACGCTAATGCAGTTTCAGAAATCTATCGTCTCAGACTCGCCTCCACGCTATACTACACCCATCACACCTGTTGTACCACTCTGGACGTATTTACCAAGCACGCCGTATTAACATTGCTGTGAACACAAGCTGCTTGCCCATGCAGACTATGGCCAAGACGAACACGGTGCCTATTCATCACCAAACACCTCAATATCTCTTTTCGCTGGTTATAAGCTTCTGCATTGGTTCCCCCACACTCTACCCGATTCCAAATCTTCTGCAGTGGAAACAGCTTTCGAAATATCGTCCTCACTCCCACGCCGGGCTGCTCAGTGTTACTTTCAAAGTTCACACACAGACGCAGTGGCTTGTGCTGCCACTGTAACCATGGCAACAACACTTGCTCTCCACTGATGACCATGGTGACAGTAGACCACCAGCTGCTGTGACCTCCTCAACTAAATTATATTTTGTTCTTTTCTAAGCACTCACAGACTCTACTGCAGCCACCTACACATCACTCAGTATTTGTACCTCGACTCAAATTTGTTTTTAAAATTTGTTCTATTTTTTTTATTTCAAAAATTAATGATGTTCACACTCCGACAACAATAAGCCAGTGCATTGTGACTGACCCTTGGTGGATTATGCTCGAAAAGCAGTGAAATTGGCAGAACCATACAAACCTTACGGCGGGCAATTCCTTGAATTCTTCTCCATTTCATTATACACATACCAAACATGACATGAAACAAACCAGAAAAAGTACCAAATTATGCCAATTTCTCTGCCGCCATTATCCGCCAAGCCCTACCCGAATTGTGACCTGGGCCCGAGGTACATATAGCTCTCCCATGCCGATTTGAAGAAGGCGATTTTTGCACTCACACCTTATTGAATTGGACGAACCTCTTTTGTTGTGTGTGCGTGTGTGTGTATGTGTGTGTGCGTATGTGTACATGTATGTGTGTGTATGTATGTATGCGTGTGCGCTCGCGCGCGCATACTCGCCACTGGTTTCTTGTGTACTAGAGTCTGAGGAGTTCTTGCGTCCTGGGTGTCATGATTTGACATGATAGTCTGACAGTGGTAACATTACTCAGACTATCATGAGGTGTTTTCTCAGGTACTGGATCAGTTCCCGCGTAAACAGAACGAAGTACAGTCCGCTCGTGTCAGTGTCTGCGGCTGCCGCGGTGACCTGTGTTCCAATACAGGCCGCTATGTACCCATGCATCTACATGTATGGGTATAAGCTGGTCTATTATGGCGTCAGAGCCATACAAGAATACGGCATGCCTCCCCTCCCCCCCCCCCCCCCCCCTCTCTCTCTCTCTGTGTCTCTCTTTCTGTCTCTGTGTGTGTCTGGGAGACAAGTATCACATTTCAGTGTTCACTGTCTGGACGAGTAAAACCATTAAATTTTATTTTATTTTCATTACACAAAAAGTCCTGCTTGATCATCGGACTCGGATGTGTAAAATGTGGTGTCATTTCATGTACTTTATTCAAGTCTGTATTTCGAGTCTCACCTCCAAAACCTATCCTCTGGGGAGCTGACAATCTCCTTGTGACAAATACTAAGGGATTGGCTCAATGCGTTGTGGTTCCTCTCCCCTGATTCATGCTAAAGTTCTCGCTACATCCGGCGCACTACCACAGCAGTGGGCGAGACCTGACTCGCTCAGCAAGGCCTGGCCGATAGGAGTGCGTCACGTTCTACTGGTGAGCATCAGCTGTCCAACGGCCTGCACGGTTCCGTGTGATCACAAGCAATGTCTGCTTGAAAGCTGTAGCTTTCCTGGCTTCCGGATTTCCCGCACAACCATGATCTGCACTATGCCTCTATGGCCCAGTATGGGTGAGATAGAATGTACATGCAATGTACGCACAACCTCTGGACAGAAAGCTTTTTCCATCTTATTCGGTCTCCTCAGCGGAGCTCAGCCTTACTACAGGCTGCAGACAATGTTAACGCTGTTTGGCTTCCGGTGATGCTCTGGTGTTGTCACTCTCCTGTCAACGGTTGTGAGTTTTTGCTTGAGAAATGCTGGCCTGTTGCCACCTGGCAGTCTGGCAGTCTGGCAGTCTGGCAGTCTATCAGTAACTTACCGACACCGGTCCATAATTATGTAGTACACTGCAGCTGTACCTCCAGGAACACTAGACAGAGTGAGACCGGTAACGAACCAATGAATTGTTTGGTGCCTTCCCCATTGAGAAGCAGCCATGCGTCCACAATGTCTCTTGAAGTCTTGATATTGTAGTACACTACTCACACAAGTGCGCGTGTATGGTCACCGGTGTGTGTCATGGACGGCTATCAATCCTCTCAGACTGCCTGCATGCACGTTGTACATGTAGCTCGTACTGTGGTGTGCGTCATGGATGGTTATCAATCTTCTTCGTACACTGCCTGCATGCACAGCTACATCATCTACATCAGCATACTCATAGACATAGGCACACCGGCACACGACTGGAACAATCTGCTACTGCATAGTTCCGGACTCTGAACCGTGCACTCCGAGGCTTCTGTCAAGTGTCAATCCACTGAGATCCCTGTTGGTAGTTTCCAGTCTACAGCTGTACTAGTTCCTGAACGCAGTCATCCGTAGCTGCAAGCAATGCCAACACCCAGCACAAATCGTTGAGGCCTTAGCAGGTCAACTGACTGTGACTTGTTGTTCTTGTCACCAGCGGTCGATGATATCACCAGTGCACCCTTGGCCTAGCTTCAGTCTAGCCGTCTACATCTCCAGACTCCACGTTGACTTGGAATGTTCTAGCCTGGTTGCTATGTCTGTTTCCATGGCGTCGCTATGAGCAAGCGGAACAGACGCACTGCACGACTGCCCGCAAGTATGCATGACTACACTACACGCGCACACTCACACTGTCGAGCGCCGCCTGAACTAACATTATTGTGACAGGTTTGATGTCAACAACGGGACGTACCAGGATGACATTGATGTCAACAGGGCATGCTGCGATGACAGTTGCATGCTTCACACGTCAGGTTTGTGTTCAACTCACTGACAGGTACGAGCAAGTGCTGATGTTATCCGCTATCCTTTCCGAGATTGACAGTGGGGCCAGAAATTCTTTTGCAACTCCACCAACACAAGCCAAACAGAGACTAGCTACATGTGCATGTACTACTACTGATGTAGCCTAGGTCAACATCCTGTGGCTGTGCTTTTCGTCTGCAAATGTGTGAGATTTCAGTGCTATGCGCAGCTGGCTTGCCGTTCTGTGTGTGTGTGTGTGTGTGTGTGTGTGTGTGTGTGTGTGTGTGTGTGTGTGTGTGTGTGTGTCAGGGACCACCTACAGTGTCTGGAATCACAAGACGTACACAAAGGAAACTACTATTGCTCGGTACTACTAGTAGGCTTTTGGTTGTGACTCAGAGCTTCATGGTTCAACGCCCAGTCACCATACCACTAGAATCCAACACAGAGTCTCACAGACTGACACTAGGCAATGTCTTCGGCTTAGTTATAGTGATCCTCTGTGCAACCATGGAACGTACCGGTACTTGGAAGTTTCAATAAATTCTTGGTGTGATTTACCAAAATTTAATCCTTTCAATCGCTCCATCAAAAGGCCACTGGAGGCCCGAGGGAGTAAAATACTAATAAGGCGTTCACTTGCTATGCCTCTTGTCCAACGCACGCAGCAGTTGCAATGTCCCGAAATTTGCCAATTAATTGAATGGTCAGGACTGGCCGATCAGTATCAGTATTCTGGTTTCCCATAAAAGAGGCATTAGCCTTATTTTACTGGCCAATCAGTTATCTACATGATTGTATGCAGACTCAGTACTCAATACTCTTAGTGCCCAACTTACTTGCCGAGTTCCCCCACCACAACTATTTGCACTGCAGCAATTGGATGACAGGCTGTTTATGACACCAACGGTGCTACAGTTCAATGAGACCACACACACCACACACCACACACACACACACACACAGACAGGCCGGATCACTACAGATCTAAATGTCAGGCTCTCCAGTCACTACCAATGTCAAGAGTATACTATAAGCTAGTGCTGGCAACTGAAATCCGACCCCTGAGCGGTGGGTTCACATTCTTTGCGATGTGAGCGCACCCCTCAGGGGTCGGATTTCAGTTGTCAGCACCGTACTTTGCTAGTGTGCTTTATATTATTAGCAGAGCAGCTCAGTCGGCACTAATAAGATATTAGTGTGAAATGGTGCATGATCTGATAAAGGGAGTGAGTTGTCCAGTTCGACATGCCATCACCTGTCACTTATCATAGACTATTGGTGTTATCAGCGTCTTGTTTACCCCGTGATGCACAGCAGTGGATCCGTGCCCGCGGTGGTGGAATTTTCTGTGTGTGTGTGTGTGTGTGTGTGTCCGTGTGTGTGTGCTTGTGCGTGCGCACACGCGGGTATGTTTCACAACTGCCGTACGTAGTTCCTCGACTAGAAGGACCCACCATGGAGACTTAGGCCGAGCAAGATATGAGTATTGAATAATACTTGAACAAGCGTGTCGGAGATAACAACTAATACTTCAATAGCTCAACCAAGGCCAGGGGACAAGCTATGCGGTCACCAGTCTTTGATTGGGACATTGGTACTTGTACATGGGGCACATTTTTATCTTTCACGTGTCCGTCTATTGTAGTTATCCATCGCCAAAATACTTTATAAAAGCCACGATAAAAGAACTTATCGACTTAATTATGGCACAGTTCGTCCTCTCTTGGTTGCGGTATTGAAGAATACTCGACTCAAGTTCTCAAAATTGGAATTCAAAGTTAGTTGACCAAGCTGAGTTGTAAGCTAATGAGGTACTGCGCGGTCTCTGTTGTTCTGCCTCGCGTATTCTGCCCTATGTGCAGCACGAAAGCCGCGTGCCTCTTTCGTGCCCGTTGTGCTTTCTGCCTCTGGTGGCTATGGCAAGCATGCCAATGCTCTTTTCACGCGGATCACCTCTCTCCTGGCTGAGAAGAGCAAGGAGCCATACGCGCAGATTATCTCCTTGCTGCCCTGCCGCCTTGGGTTTTCCCTGGTGCGTTGTGGTGCCATGTGCCTGCGTGGCTCAAGGAGCATGTTTGCCTGAGTCCCCTGCTGTGCTAGTGGTGGCTGAGGCACGCATCCAGTGAACCTGCAGTGATCCTACTGAGTGACAGAGTCTGTATAATCATTACTGTATCTGATGATTCGTTTTATGTAATTGTGTTGATTCTTCACAAAATTTAATGTGCTATTTTGCCCGTACAAGAGGGAGTTCATTCCTAAAAATATAATAAAAAAATGTGCAGCACGGACCTGAGACACAGGCTTTGTGTGTACAGTGAAACCTGTCTAAGACGACTGCTCAGAGACAAAGGACCTTGAAAACGTGGTCTCTGTTACCAGGTGGTCTCCTTATCCAGGGTCATTTGACTGGAAATAGCATCCCTCGATCCTGGCTTCAGTGGTCTTCTAGGACAGGTGGTCGCCTTATCCGAGTGGTCGCCTTGACAGGTTTTACTGTACTGTGTTGGTATGCATCATTACGTGTTCCAGTGTTTTAGACTTGAAAACTAATGGTATCAAAAGCCTGTAGTCGAAACTGTGGCTTCTTTTCAAGTCCTAGACTTGAAAAGACTAACTAATGCCTAATGGGCCATTACACGTAGTTTCGACTAGGCCTTTCGTGCCATTGACTAAGTAATGATTAGTAATGGCACGAAAGGCCTAGTCGGAACTACGCGTACGTGTATGGCTCCTGCGTCTGTGCTTCGCCTTCCTGTGCTGGTGCAGTGGTCGCATCGCATAACCACTCCCTACGTCACAGTACGTGCACATGGTGCAAGCCTCTGCATGTGGTTGACCGTTGTGGTCACAGAGTTATACTAGTGGCAGTGCATGCACGTGGTTTGCTCACTTTCGCACAGCTTTGCGGTCAGCCAGCCACTTGTGCTCAATGGATGGGATCGCCCATTCGCGGTGGGGGGAGGCGTAGGGTGTAGAGAGGCTGGGCATAGTCACGTGATCACCTGGACCTGGTATCAGGTACACTGTAGGGTAGTGTTCTCTTCAAGGGGAAAACCCCTGGCCCTTCGTGGGGGCGTAGAGTCCAAAAGTACGGTGCATGCTGCTCAATGAAATCCAGTCGCGTTTTTCCAATTCCTTACTTCGCTCACCGGCGCTAGGCGCAGTGCATCCCTACCCTAGGCCGCGCCTAGACCTGCGAACACGGGGCTGCGATCGGGTGCAAGGCGCAAACCTGAGTGACAGGATTGAGCAGGACTGTATCAGATATTCTGTGTCGAGTACAAAAGTAAAGTTTGCACGTCTGCGTTACCACCGGCTATACAATTGCGTTGAGAAACACAACCGTGGCATGGTACATATCACACTTGACATGGGCCAGGTGATGGCAGTAGCGTAGGCAAGAGAGAGATGTACTTCCAACTATGGCAACTATTCTGATTTTTTCCTCTACTTGCAAGCTAGGCCATCTTTCACGCCCGAAACTAATATGTACAATCATGCACATCGAGCCATAATGGATATGCAGCGAGTCAGCTCACTGGGTGTCAGCAAAAGGAGCTTGTACAGGTATTGGGGGTTTTGTCATAACTGCTATCAGCTATATGTAGCTGCCGACACGATCATCGATCTACTGCTAGATATGCCTGTAGGCTGTAGGCGGTACGTTGCCTAGATGTACTGCACACAGCAGATCTACGACTTGAATTGAAAGACTCATAATGGACGACTCGTGCTGTCATTATGATCAGTATACAGGCTCTGTGCAAGGTGTCATACTCATTTTGCTCTGCCCCGGCCCCGCGGAATCCTTGGACCTTGACGTGACGAGTTCGTTAGCAGGAGCCGGCTAGCCGAGCGGGAGTATCGCATTTGTGGCGCTCGTTCAAGATAAACCCGTCTAGATCGCTGTCAGCGCGCTTGACAGCAGCACATCAAGTGAATATGAGGTAAGGCAGGGCGGAGGATTCGAACACTGCGCCAGAAGATCTTTTAGGGAGAAACACCGTGCCAACGTTTCTTCAGTCTTGGAGTGAGCAGCGAGAGGTGGCGGACGCGAATTGATGGTGCTCAGTGCTTAGCAGCAAGGAGGAGATACTGGGCAGTTTCGAAGGCAATCTTTCCGCGCCCTGAATCGAGGTATGGCGTCCGCAGGCAAAGTGGTGCGCCGTGCGACTATCTCGGTTGCAGATGAGTTGCAGGACCCGAGCCTGATTCTTGAAAACACACAGAATACTTATCAGAATATGCTAAGTCTCCTATCTCAGATCCCCAGCTTGGACTGTTCAATGCCGCCAGCCGCGGCCGCTGCGACACCGGTGAAGGGCAAGCAGGCATCGGTTGCTGCGACAGCGGCGGTGAAGGTACGTCGCAGCGTCAGCCTTCGTCCATTGTCCACGGTCACCCCGTCGCCACAATCCGGTTCTAGTGCGGTGGGACCTTGCCGAGGTGGTAGCCCGAATACTCAGCGTAGCTCCACAGCTCCGCTTCAAGCCAGTTTAGCCAATGGCGGAGACCGCGAAGGCAGCATCGGGACAAAGGCCTCATCGACTACCGGTCCCAGCGCGAAGCTGGAATCGGATGCGGCATCTGATCCTGCACTCGGCCTGCCCATCGCCGCTGGGATCGGTTCCGGTGAGGACTGCGATTCATCATCTGACGATGAGCACAACGCAAGTCTGACCTCTATGCAATGGCTAGCCAAGGGTAACGAGGTACTGAAATCCAATCTAGCCCTCGAGTCTCACAGCTCGATAGCCAGCAGCAGCAGCCGCACTAAAGCCAAAGGGAACCGAGCGACCGGCACCACCAGCGGCAAACGCAGTACCAAGAAACGCCCTCGCCCTCGCCCTCGACCGTCGAAGAAATCGCCTGTAGCTGCCTCCAGCGCCACAACGGGACGCGGCAGAGCGACGAAACTGGAATGCCAGCTACTAGCGGAAGCGGCCGAGGTCGGCGTCGAAGTACCCGAGTCACCGACGGCCGACGATTACCTGACGAATCCGTACTGTAAGCCCGCGTTCAAAGTGTCCAGTTTGATTCTGCGTATCATGTATGCCAATCATTATCGCCACATCACACTCGATGCTATCTACGACTCGCTCAAAGCCCAATACGCCTACTACAGGAAGCGGGACGCGGAAGGCGAGCAACAGCAGCAGCAGCAGCTACAGCAGATGCTGCTGCAGCAACAGCAGCAACAGCAGCCGGAGCAGCAACAGCAGCCGGAGCAGCAACAGCAGCCGGAGCAGCAACAGCAGCGGGAGCAGGACGAGCAAACTGTAAATCAACCCCAGGACAAGGAGAGTACGCAGACAACGGTACCATCACCACCGCAGCAGGAGGATGCAAGAAATCGAAGATCCACCTCTGGCTGGAAGGTAGGTGATGAACAACAGAATTACTTCTCATGCCAGACGGAAAGCAGAGTTACGGGGGACGTGTGTGCATTGTCAAGAAGAATTGTAGCGCGTTGAATTGGCGATAAATCCATTACGAGCAGTTTCCTTTGCACCGTTTCGTGTCGTCTTGTAATTGTGTAATTTCAATGACCTCCTGATACCAGTGTCAGTGACTATTGCACGTAGACTCGACCGTAGTTCTACGATGTGGTGCTATCTGTACAATGTACAGTGCTGCTCAATGAAATCCGATCCCGAGAGTCTAGTTTGCCGGCCGGCCTGCAGTCAGTTCACATACTAGCATCCCAGTACAGTGTTCATGGTGTTCGCATGTCTACTGTACTAGCAATGTCATGGTATGACAGTAGTAGTAGTAGTAGTAGTAGATCTACTAGTAGTAGTAGTAGTACGGCTACACACGCACCGACGTGGCATTGGTCGGATTTCATTGAGCAGACAGACGCGCACTGGTTGTATGACTGACAGACACTGACTCTGAGATCATGATGTCATGAGACACAGACTAGTCACTTGTGTGGTTGTGTAAGACTGGGGTGTAGTACTAGTACAGTAGTAGTACTAGTAGTACTAGTAGTAGTAGTAGCAGTAGCAGGCTGATTCACACATGGACAAGTCAACCACCATTGTAAACTGCACTGACAGTGGAATAACAAACTCCAGTAATGCATGCACCACCCTTTGCCAGCATGTCACCAGTGTACAGCACATGTACAATCATGTTGTTGGTATAATTATCTGGTGTTGCTACTGTACTAGTATTGGATTGTTAGTGTACAATCATGTACAATGGATCTGTGGCAAGGGTTAGGAAGGAAAACTAAAGAGTAGCAAAAGTAACACCAACAGAAACCGTCTGTGGAAGAAAGAGGATGTCGATGTACAATGTATGCACTCATCCTGGTTTTGGTGGATGTGTACATGTTCGGATGTGTATGCGTGCGTTTGCGTGTGCGTGCGTGCGTGAATGTCCACACAGAACACGGTCCGCCATGCCCTCTCCACGGAGAAGTTCTTCAAGAGCGAGCGGCGCTCCGACGCCAATCCGGGCCGGGGAGGCCTGTGGCGCGTTGACCTCGACCTCGTGCCCGACAAGGTCACTGAGGAAAGTAAACTACACGAGGTGGAGCGCAACGCTAACCCAGATCCACAACCAACACCAACACCACTGCCATCACAGCAAGCAGCGTCTGCAGAGGAGCCCCAGCCGGACGCACAGGACAGCAAGGACAGTGCTGTCCAATCGGATAAGCCCGACGATGACACGGCTCAGAAAGCCAACACGAAGAAGGCGTCCAAGTCGCCACGGAAACCGCGTGGCAGTGGCAGCCGAAAGCGGAAGGCCACCAGCGACGACGGTAGCGAGGAACCAGTCCCACCCAAGCCCAAACGCAGGCGTAGACCTGCCAAACCAAAAGCGTCCGTGGCAGCTAGTGGATCCGAGACATGCAATCCTGCCGATTTGCCCGCATCAGTCGGCGACGAGTCGGTTGCTCTAGCGCCGCTCATCATCGATGAGGACGTACTGAAGAATGTTGATGCTGATGTGTTAGAAATGGCTGAGAGTATTCGAATGGCGCCAGGTGGTGGGGATATGAGTAGGGACCATGATCAGCTGTCCTTCTCCACCATCGGACTAGAGTTCAGCCAGTCGTTCAGCCAGCCGTTTGTTCCCGACCTTATGAAGTCCATGCCATGTGTCCACGCGCAGCAGAGTTCGTCAGCGTACGGCATGGTGTCGACGGCGGCGGCGACGAACATGGCACCGCATTCGGCAGCATTGTCGCTTACTGGCCCGCATTGCCCTGTGCTGCTGCTGCCGAACGGAGTGATGACTTACACTAACGGCAGTGGTGGTGGTGCGACTACAGCGGATCCTGTCATAATGCCGTCGACTCCAGTTGCCACGCCAACGTCATCGGTCGACACCACTGCACAGCTGCCGTCGTTTGATGACATCGTGCGGGGAGGCATGATGTGCACGGACCAGGAACGTGACGCTCTGTTGGCCGTGGCGGCGGGGCCCGATCCTCATCAGCAGCAGCAGTCACACGCACGCCTAGTACATACTCCGGGCACCTCTGCCGCTTCCGGGTCGTCGGACTTGACCACCACACCACCGGGAGGCAGGGCAAAAACCACCAGCACCGGCACGGCAGCCTTGGAGAATGCCGACAACGAGGAACTGTACAAGCTCGCCGAATGCTATGGTGCCTTCAAACCCAACTCCTCGTTCGGCCAGGAGCAATTCCAGGCGCTGCAGCGCCAGGCGCACAATGCCTCACCCCTGGCAGCTCTGTACAAGTCCGGGCAGGTACTGTCGGCCAACTCACTGGCCGCAAGGTCAGCCCTGATGTCACCTGGTGTCCGTGTGCCTATCCCGCTACCACCCGCCGGCAGTTTTCTGGCATCTCCTTCGCCCAGCAGACAAGAGCACGCCCCCGTGCAGCCTATGAACCCGTACGCTTTGCCCCCCGATGTGGCTGCCGGCCAGTTCTTCCAGACGCCCGGCTGCAGTACTCCGCGACGCGGCATATCACCGAGCACTGTCAAACAACGGTGGCAGTCGCAGAGTCACTCACACCACAGCGGCGGCGGAGGAGGTCACCCATCCTCGTCGTTTGTTGCTGCGTTGTCAGCGGGGGCGTCTTCTCAGCAGCATGAGCAGCGCCCGCGCCCTCATGGTTTGTTTGGCCTTGCTGACTCACCCAGCATTGCTGCTGACGCCAGTGGCCTAAACTGCATCAGTCCAATCTCGATGCGATCCCTGGTTGCATCGGCGTCGTCATCAATGGCAAGTAGCCCCAGATCCGTGCGATCGCTGGCAAGTCTCTCCTCGTCGTCACTGGCAAGTCACTCCTCACCATCACTGGCGAGTCGCTCTGATCTGCTGCAGCGGCAACGGGTCGAGGACGAGGAAGACCCATGCGGCGTCGGCGGTGGCGTCGAGCCAGCCATGTTAACCATGGAAACGGCCATGGCAACGCCGGTGGTGGGTGCCGCCGAGGCGTCGCCGATAATGGCACTGCACAGTGCACCACTGCTGCCGACCGCGGCGCAATCCGTTGCCGGGACGACTACGCCCATGTCGATATTCAGCTTCAACAAGGACGAGCTGTGCGTGCTGCCTCGCAATGATAATAACACCTCCGCTCTAGACCAGGCACTGCCACCACAACAGCCGCAGCAGCAGCAGCCTAAATCGGCACCGCCCATGTGGACGGGATTCAATGGCTTGCAGGTCAACATACACGGCGTGTCGTGAGAATAAAGAATTAAAATGTCTTCCACTGCCGCTGGAAGAGCGCATGACATGTCGCAATTTCAACACTGGACCCAATGCATTGCATGGCCGCCGTCAGCCACGCACGCAGTAGTAATGACAATCTTCAAACTACGTACGTGTACAAGAACGCCCTAACCCGCCCTCCTGCATGTATTCACACAAAACTCCGTTCCGTAACGTTGAACTGTTTTGAAGCGCGAAACTGAAACGTCTGTCCTCGTGTACTAGTATCATTCCGGTGTAGTCGAAATCAGAACTATCATAATGTCTGTTGTCATTGGCGGAGTGAAGTATCCAAATTGTATTCATTGGCTGAGGTGGAGTATTTTAAAACTTGTATTCATTGGCGGAGTGAAGTATTTAAATTGTATTCAGCACATGCATGTATGTATATCAGCAAAGCTTAGCTGGCAAAATGGTCACACTGCTCTGTTACAGTGCAGCCAGGGAATGCCTCCGCCACACAGACTCTGCCCGTATCGTGCAATGGGGCACTGCGTCCTACTATCCACGGCAACCTTGAGACACGCCTGGCTGTGTCTGCGACTGTCCTCCCTCGGTGTGTGCTCGCGCCCCGTTGTGGCTTCGCGACATTTTCATCATGTCTTTTCCTCCGGCCGACTTTCTCCCGCCAACGTCTCTCCTACACTACAATTGTACTTTATATAATAGTTTTCAATCTCCAGCATACACTACCTATCCTCGCATCACAGCGCACATACAGTGCAGTAGTATTCCCCGTGCACATATCCAGCCTACAGCATAGTCAGCTCTATTATTCATCTTCTGAAAGTCAAATATTTTGGGTATATTCTCTCCCATGGTTTTGTTACTTCGTCTTCTAAAGACAGTTTGCTCGTCAACGAATTTTTTTACGACAAGATGTGGATTTTATTGTCCACATGGCTCATCTCAGATATCTTTTCAAGTTCTAATTGAAACTGTTTTTAGCAGCCCTGCTTTCTGTTCCGAAAAATCCAACGTGTTTCATGGATGCAAATTCTCCGTCTCCGCAATGCCGATATGGCGGTGTGTGATGTCTCAGTAGAGACTCAATGCCCGTGAAGTACATTGTGACATGCTGCATGCACAGCTGTACTGTACTCTGTAAAATAGACAAGGGCTCATGAGGGTCGGGTTAGAAAAAGAAGCGGCCGGAGAGGCCAATAATTATTAGCACTAGGGCTTAGTCGGTATCGGGTTCGGGTAGTTTTCGTACCCTATCGGGTAATGTTTCCACGGTAACACCACAATGCACCCCTTCCCGGATCCCTTACACACTGGGCAGACATGCGGAGTATTGCATGAATTTGTACTTGGCACTGTACATGATGTCATCTGCGACTTTGTGCTTTCAGGTACTATTCTGTACCCGTCTACCCGAGGTCCTCACGGGTAGCATGGGTACCCACCCGTGCACGCCAATAGTGTAATAATTATTACAAGTAACCCCTATCTAGACAAGATAGGATAACAGAGAGAGAGAGAGACGGGGGTGGGGGAGGGGACGAGAGAAAGTGAGTGAAAAAGAGAATTGGGGGGGGGGGGGGACTTCGGAAAGAAGTGACCCGGGGGTCGTTTCTCGCACCGTAACTTAAACACTGCTCACTCGATTTTCAAATTGTTAGGGCGTAATGACACAGCAGATTGAACAACTGCCAATGTCAATGAACACTATCGAGTTTCCAGTTCATGCATGCGTGCCCATACGAGAACCAAACTGGACATACCCTATCGCACGTACCTTCTTGCACCACTCACACAAACAATTCTCCACGGAGGAAGTTCAAACCGAGTTTGGAGAGAGGATCTGTCAGGCATTCCAATCGGACTTAATATTTCGAAAGATAACTGTTAAAAGGAAATAATTGAAGACTAAAATCTAAAAAAAGATGTTTTCTTGCCAAATTGAAAATTTCGGATTGTTTTAAACTTGGTATAAAATCAGTGAAATTGGACAAAACTGAGTTTTAAATAGAACTGATTTCTAAAATTTGTAATCAATTGTGGTGCCTGAAACAGAATGGGACAACAGGCGTTCAGAACATGACGACTGTATTTGTAAGACACATACATGGATGCACACTTGCACGTGGCCAGTGGAAATCGGACACCTCCCAAAGGGCAATTGATATCGAAGAATAGATCAGCGGTTAGCGTTATGCTTTTAAAATTCCATCGTAAGGGGCGAGGGGGGAGGGGTGTTATTGGCGGAGGGAGCCCGTGGAACTAGCTCACCTTGGTCTCAGAGTGGACATTGTTTTTGTTTAGAAATTTGAAATACGTTGTCTGCTGTGTGCTAGGGAAATTGAATAGTTTCTTTATAAGCAGGGATTCGTAATCTGTACCAAAAAGCAGGGAATTCGAAACAGGACTGGTCTGATAATTCATACGATGGCTTTGGTGATGACGCCATTGCAGCGCACACTTGGTACTTGGTCGTATATCTAAAAAGTCACACGTGCGTACAGTATACACGTGAGAATAGCGTAACGTGACACAACTGTCTCGGTCACCCGAGTCATGGATAGCAAAGGTCATGTGACTTCAAGACGACACGTGATCAACCGATGACATAATGTGTTCATCACATGCCCTTGCAATGACGTCAAACATTGATCACATGACATTGCAATGATGTAACACATTGATCACATGACCTTGCAATGATGTAACACATTGATCACATGACCAATGAGAACCGTAAGAGCACACGCACCGGTTGCAAGGCGTCCCGAGCGACAGCTCAGACAAACTCTAACTTCTTCTCCGGCCCATAGCCATACTGCTCTTTATGTTGGTCGAACAGTTCCGTTAGCTTCTCGAGGTACACACCGTGCCAATGCTCCACATCTGCTTCAGACGGTTCTTCCATCTCCGGGAGTTTCAGCGATGCACCGACTGCGACAGGAGAGAGAGACAAACACAAACACACACCCATGTACATCGTACCATGTATACGCCCGTCGCAAGAGAAGCACGCAATCTGCAAATGCACTGGACGTGCACCCACAGATTTTCTCTTTATAGCAACGATAGCGGATCTGATTCTGATTGAAACAGATCAAGACAATCGCCAGATAACTGTCTAATCCACACAACTGGCAAAGTCATGTGAATACACGCACCCCCCCCCCCCCCCCCCCCCCCCACACACACACACATCGACCCATGCATACACACGGGCACGCAAACACGCATACAAACACGTCCGCACGCGCACATCCGCCCGTGCACACATGCGCACGCACACACAATTCACATGGCTGTGTCAGTTTAAGTGGATCAGGTAGATATTTAGCACAACACTTGATTTGCGTGACTTAGATCTTGTCCGCTATCGTTACCATTAAAAGAGAACATCATACGGTGTACAGTAAAACCTGGTGTAAGCGACCTCTGGGTTTAGCGACCACCTGCTCTTAACGACCGTTTTTCCACGCACCGACAGTTCTACACAGACACTCTGGGACCTGGCTTTAAAGACCACCTGGCTTTAACAACCGCTTTTGCTTGCACCGTGGGGTGGGGGTGGGTGGGGGTGGGGGGTGGGGGGTGGGGGTGGGGTGGGGTGGGGGGGGGTGGTGGTCACTTAAACCAGGGTTTACTGTATGCCGTGAAACGTCTAATTTTAGCGACGGTGATATTTTAGAGATTTCGGCGTACGGAATGTTTTCGCTAAAGTTTTGCCACGCCAATCCAAACAGTGTGTGTATATTACAGTACTAGTCATCCTTCTTGAAACTCGGATCGCTTAAATACTTCATCGCGACTTGGTCCTGATTCAGAAAACGCTGAAAATTGTACCCGCTAAAATTAGCCTTTCTGCAGTGTTCGGTGCATTCAGAACTGTAGCTGGCATCAGAGGGGTGCCTTGGGTGATCAACGGGCAATGGTACGCCACTCCGTACGGTTCTGGGCCGCATCGTACCATCCCGTGACATGTTGGTACAGATGGCTCGACTAATTCGAAGTCATCTACAATGATGTCCTTCCACATCTTGCGTGGACCATACGAAACGGGCAATGGTACACCACTCCGGACGGTTCTGGGCCGCGTCGTACTATCCGAATGCTGGTACTGATGGCTCGACTAACTCGATCGAAGTCATTTACAATGATGTCCGGACTCCCTCCACACCTTGCATGGACCATACCAAACGGGTACTGTGCAGGCAGTTTACCAAAGTGAGAACTCATATGCACGCACACACACGCGCGCGCACACACACGCGCGCGCACACACACGCGCGCGCACACACACGCGCGCGCACACACACGCCAAGACAAATACTCCCCCCCCCCCCCCAAACACACACCTACACCCCCCCCCCCCCCCCCCCCAAACACACACAGCTACTCACCAACAGTGTGCAATGGCTTGCGACGTGGCAGCATCCTCGCAAGCTCATCGCCCTGGAAGAACGGATAACACATGCCAAACTTCTCCGTGCAATACGTCTGAAAGCGGCGCAGGAACGAGCTCTTTGGCGGGTCGTACAGTTCGTTCTCCCCAAACCCATATACTGGAACCAGTGGTGATCTGCAGATGCAAGCCGATTACAAACACAAGAACAAAGAGAAATCAACATTTTCCGGCTTTTCATTGGCTCTCCATCCGAGTCCATATTCTTTTCAGTCAAGAGATTCCATTGACGAATATGTTAACAGAAAACGTTCTGGAACAAAACCTTTGCTTTGTTTTTTGAGATGAGCGCGAGTTGTGTTCATAATTAAACCAACATACATGTACATGACTGTATACATAGGTGTTGGCTTAGGCGTGGTGCTGACAATCAGAGCACAGGGTGTGCTTTTCGTGAGCTGTATACGCCAAGCCCAGAACTGAAAACACGCCTGATCCTGCAGGCTTGGAGCCAGCTCCCGGCTGCAGGGACAGGCCCGGGTTGGCTACAGCCTGTCCGATTGTGTCCCCAGGACTAGATGTAGGATCACAGGAGGATGCACTGCCAGCTCTATGCATCATTATCTGAGTGTTGTAGCTACACATGCTGATGCCATACAATCGAATGTTACGTGTACAACAGTCTCCATTGAGCAAGAAGAATTGTGCATGAGGGTTAGACTCGAGTGGGGAGTGTTTGTGGACATTCAACTGGCACTGAGATTGCTAAAAACTGACGAGTCGTAAAATACCGAGTCGTAAAATACCGACTCCCTGGTAAAAACTGGCACGGCCACGGCCCTATCCGCTGCCATACCAGTAGCGCCGGCGACCCTGCCCCACCTCGTCCCGACTGTGCCCCGTACCGCCCCTGCCCCGTCCCAGCCTCGGTCACACACTACTCACCCGGTTTCCAGGGCCAGGCGCACGAATCCCTTGCGCTTGCGTATTGCCGTCTTCGCCTCGCCTGGCTTGGCCACCAGCATGTCGCGTGTGCCACCGGGTACGAGGGCTATGCTGTGACCGGGACCGCGCGACAGCATGCTCCGACAGCCGGCCGTGGTGACGCTCCGCGCTCCCAGCAACATCAGCCACTCGCGCATCACCGGCGCCGAAAACACCACCGGCATCGTCATTGGCCAGATCGTCAAGCCCGGATACTGCTCGCTAACTCCGGTCGCTTCCGTGGCGAAGTTAGCGAACACCCCCACTGCAAATACACCGTGAGGATGATAGCAGAATATGTAGTTCGACTTCGGATCCAAATCAGCTGTTTTGACCAGGGTGACAGGAAAGAAATCGCGAAAGTAGTTCCACATTCGCGCCGTTCGGCAGTAGTTGCTGCGCCTCGCCGACGGGCCGAACCACGCGCTAGTGGGAGACTCCCAGTCGAACACTAGCAGCCATGCCATATACAGTACGACAACGGGTGCCAGCGGTGTGAGCAGCAGTAGAATGAGAAACACTGACGGAACGATGTGCGCGCAGAAGAAGCTCAGAATGAAAATGGCCACTATCGCTCGCTTGTAGTGCTCGATCTGGGCCAGCGACATCAAATGCTTTACCGTCTCGAGCATGATGACAACGTGCTCGATGCTCGCTAGCTACAGAAGCAGCAGACGTCCAAACGATTTGTCCAACAACATCCAAAGCAGAAGCGACAGCTGAGCACAGCAAATTCGGGGATATTGCTGGTGTGGATCGGACCTTTCGCCTAGGTGACGTCCTCCTCCGCCGCCAGAGGCTGTCGGCGACTTTACCCCAACGCAAGCACTTGCTCAAAATGTAACTAGGGGATAGCGAAGCAGCCAATGTGACCTACGGCCTGTCGCGAAACAGAAAATGAGCTCCACAATGAACGCAGAAAGATTGACATGAACTGCGTTTCTGCACGACACACACGAACTAAACAACAGTCAACAGTGATTTTATGTACGTAGATCTACTTGGTCAGGGAAGCCTTTTGAGTTTTGTTTGAAGGTTGCATGCATGCAGGCTGCGTAGTGCGTACACTCCAACCATGCGTGAAGGATTGGTACATGAGTTACCGACGCGACGTGGACACGTCACATTTATACGCCGCTATTCATACAACATGCACTGTCTGTCAAAATTATGAATCCCATGCCCACGTAGATCGGTAATCTAGTGACTTGAACTGAAGATGAAATGACATGACTGTCAACGTCCTCGTAGACCTACGTTACGCATACGTCAAACGAGAGTCGACCTTTTTGTTTGGCTTGCGAGTTGCGGATGTTGCAATGTTGGGCGTCGACTCTCTTTTGTTTCAAACAAAAATTACCCTGCTTTTAATACTTACCTCGTTTACAACTCCGAGGCTTTTGTTGTCACAGCGTTGTCGAAGTACTACAGTACTGCAAGTAGTAGAGTGCTTGAGAACGGTTTTATTCACAACGGCATCAATTGGGCCAATCGCGTGAAACCATGAAGTAAGAATCAAACTCAAAGCAAAAAGACAACCCAATTTCGGAAATAAAATAGAACACTCAATTGAAATGTAGTAGAGTAGTTACATTGTGTAATGGGTAGTTAATTAAAGGGGAAGTATACCCTAAAATCAAATTTTCACCAGTTGTAGTCTTCGGGGTGCTGAGTCGAATGGTCTTGGTCCGAGGAAGCTGAGGCGCTCCCTTCCTACTTGAATCCCAATCGAACTCGCGCACTTCCACCGAAACTGGGTGACTGCGCCCTACTAGATGGGGATTTGTATGCAAAATGTCACTAAAAGCGCCATTTCGTTCTTATAAAAGCACGGATGACCGCGATTGGCCCATATGTTGTAGTCTTTTGGACGCTGAGTCGACTGGTTTTGGTCCGAAAAGGCTGCGATGCAGCGTTCCTCCTTTATTCCCAATCGAACATGGTTGAACAGGCGGTCACGTGCTCCTGCGTACACCAGTCACCTGGTCACCGTGCCTGCAGGGTACAACTTACTAGCCTGTTTGACCTTTTTTGGGTGCAGTCCTGTCACTCGAGTTGAACTCGAGTTGAACCTTGGTGTGAAAGTTGTCGCCTGCTGGCGTGGTGACCAGGTGATTTGGGCACCCAGGAGCACGTGACCGCTTGTTCAACCATGTTCGATTGGGAATAAAGGAGGAACGCTGCATCGCAGCCTTTTCGGACCAAAACCAGTCGACTCAGCGTCCAAAAGACTACAACATATGGGCCAATCGCGGTCATCCGTGCTTTTATAAGAACGAAATGGCGCTTTTAGTGACATTTTGCATACAAATCCCCATCTAGTAGGGCGCAGTCACCCAGTTTCGGTGGAAGTGCGCGAGTTCGATTGGGATTCAAGTAGGAAGGGAGCGTCGCAGCTTCCTCGGACCAAGACCATTCGACTCAGCACCCAGAAGACTACAACTGGTGAAAATTTGATTTTAGGGTATACTTCCCCTTTAAGTAGTTGAGTGTGGCGACCCGATTGGCGATCATCACTACTGCAGTTCAGGACAGAAGGCCTTGATGCGCGTGTAGGTCTACTTGCACTGTGTAGTCAGTGTGGATCATAATTAATTATGTAGATCCACAGCAGTCACGTGACGAGCGTTTTGCATTGTATTCACTAAACTCTAACGCCGTATCGAGGGGTCTCCATTTCTGCGTTTTAATTACTACTAGGAGTGAAACTCGTTTGGATTTTTCAAATATAATCGTACTCGGAATAAATCAGAGTACTCGCTCATACATGGTACATGCATTTACCACAGAAGTCTGCAGTTTCAGAGCAGCAGTCAGCAGATATTGATGTGCAGACTGTGTGGTGAACATTTGTACACGAGTAGAGAGAGCCCAAATGACCCACCAACCAATACACCCGAGAAAAAAAACTGCCAATCTGTTCAATCAGGGTTGTATCATGTGATTTTTGAGGCGGTTGGTGTGTGATTTTTAGGATATCAAGAATACTCGAATACTCGAATATTCGATCGGAGAAAATCAGAGTACTCGAACTCGGGATCTCAGTGCCAACTTTCACCCCTAATTACTACTGATGAGAATATGAGAATGCACAGGGAGCAGATAAGGAGAAATAACACGAACAACTAGGAAGGAATAATTTATAGAAAAAAGGACCAAGGAACTACAAGTAAGTTACCCTATAATGTCCACTGACACCACCAGTTACTAAACAATCAGCTCATGCGATAACATTGCACGGCACTGACTGACGGTACTGACGTTCTACAACTAACTGGCTAACAGCTCTAGCACATCTTGGATGCGCACTCCAACAGCCTTCCAACTTGGAAGGTTCTAAGTTATA